TGCATTTCATGCCAGCTGTTGACTGATGCTATTTTAAGACCTCTGGTTTCATTATTCACTGTCAAAAGAGTTGTGTCTTTTGTCTAGGAGTGTTTAGGGGTAATCTTTGAAAATCGGAAAATAGCCAAAAGTGTTGCAGACTCCTTTGACCCCAGGTAGGGGCATGAGATTGACCACAGGCCTTTTCCTCCATCAGTGTCTGTGGGTGTCTGCTAACCTGACTTTGGAAGAGCTGAGACAACTGTGAGATGGGTGGGCAGCAGGAACACAGGGACTAAAGCTGCACAGTCCTGTCTCTGGCTCATGTCAGTTCTTAAAACCAAGCAACTCAGACCAGGAAACTAACCAGAGGTGTTGGTCCCATGTTCTTAGGGAACATTTTACTTCTGTTAGTAAAGGGCTACAGGAAGGACAGTGTCTTGAACAAAATCCAGCTGTGACCTGTTTGGAATACAGGTTCTCTGAAAGGACCTATAAGACATGCAGAGCATGACACTGAGGTCAAACGCCTTTTTCACTGATTTAGATTATGCCAGTAGATGAATCCCAAGCTGAAAACGGATCAGGACTCATCTCTATAAGCAGAGCAGTTTTCAGTATGATGTAGAAGAACTGCCCCTTTCTCCTAGACTAGGATAGGCATCGGTGGTCTCTTCCTACCTGTCCATCCACCTGTCTGTATCCCCATTTCTCCCCTCTGGAAGAGGAAGTTTATAGCTGTGAGATTAGCCTGTAGCTGTGAACAGCAACTTCTTGGCTCCTGGTGTGGCCTGGACACAGCCCTGTTGGTCTCGGTATCATGTGCTATCTGAAGCACCTCTAAGGGAGTTCCTAAAGCCCATTAGAAAAGTGCTCCTGCCTGTTTGGAAAGCCACACTCCCCTAGCCTTACCTGCTAGGTGGGTTAAAATGCCGTGCAGGCCTACAGATACACTACAGCTGCCACTTTTCCCCAGGGTCCCTCATTTTTCCAGGAAAGGCAAGAGAGTTAATGTCTCTATCCCCACCCAAGAGGTCAGTGTCAAACCACAGTTCTTTCTTGGCCATCATAAGAGAGTGGCTGTCATTGCTGTGTGCCAGTGGGTTTTGACTAGAAAACACCAACAGAAACTTCTTGAGGGAGAAAATAAAACGAGGGTCTTCTGTAGATGCAGACGCCTGTGCCCTGCTTTGCTACTTCACTGCCATGGGTTGGTCTTAGTACTGTATTCTGACTGTGTCCCTCCCTTCCCAGCAACGAGCATTCGCCAGGCACGGCTAGCTTCAGGATGGAAGAAATTTTTCGGATGAAACTGGCAAATTCTGCTCACTCAATTCACATCTCCCTTAAGTAGAGACAGGTGACAAACTTCAGCTTGTAGGTTTCTCACCAAAACGTCCCTTTGCCCAAAAGTCTTGCACTAATAGGTTCCCATCACATCATGTCTATAAATGGGTGCACTTTACTGTTTGAATTTGTAACTCTGGTAAATACTGGATATTTAAGTGTGAGTAATGTCTTCATTAGAAATTAGCAGAGTCACTCTTGTCTCTGGTGTGTTTTTCAAGAAAAAAAAAAACATGGAAAGAAATCAAGCAGTTGATCACAGCATTCATAGCACAAGAACTAACTGTTGTATATAAGCCTCAACGAGATTGAGAATCTTTAAACACAAGAGAATATTTGCAGTGATTTTAAAGTGCTTTCCAGCAATTTTCTTAGGGACTCCTGAGACATGGTTCATTTATTTACTGGATCAGTAAGGCACACAAGTAACAGTTAAAATTAATGTTTATTTACAAAGTAAAGGGAAAACCTGTGTAACACGAGAATTTGGCATGGACAAATGGAGATCATTTTGTATCTGCTGTTGTGTCTGTCCAGATCACAGACGTGCACTATTAAAAGCCCAAGTTAATAGAGCACAGCCCCTCTTTCCTCTCCCAGGCGCCCCTTTCTAGGTGTTTAACTGAAACTTGATGGCTCAGGAAAATTCCACTAATTAGAATCATGTACAGTATCCCAGGTTGTTGTCCAGATGTCCAAGTTTGCTGGTTTTAGTTAAGCCTGGATTATTAAACATTTTTCCTAAATTATTATAAACAGAACAGCTTAGAGAAAGGTGTTCTCAGCCCTTATATTGTATAGTAGTTTATGATCCCCTCTAAATATTGGTATTTTTATATTCCAGAGATATACCCAATAGAAAAATTTAAAACCAGTGTCTAATTTAATATCCATAAGTATTTTTCCTTAGAGTTTAGTCATATGCAGTGGGATATGTGGATATCACGTGTACTTCACCATACTCTACCACTAGGTGTCACTGTGGCTCTGCATCATACTTACCTGGTTACAAAGAATGGCTTCGTGGAGCTGCTGCCAGTGCCAAGGCAGGCCCATAGCCTGGAGGTTCAGGAAGACGGGAACAAAGGCCTGGAGGGTCTTCATGCATCCATGCCACCTGTAGCAAGACAGACTCTGAACACCACCGTTTGGGAGGTTAGGTTGAGCTTCCTTTCTCTGGTGGATGGGCATGTAGAGGAGCCTTTTCTCCCCTGAGCATCCTTTCTCTCAGTTCCACTCAGCCTCCAGCTTTTCTAACTCCACAAGTATCATGGTTGGGTGGTTTGATTAAAGATAGTTATTTTTCTACTGCAGAAATGCCTTGGACAAAAACAGTTGCTCACTGAATCTTTGCCACTCAATGGAACAGGCTCCCCAGGTGGCAGGACATGCTGCCTCTGTGCCCATCCCTGTTGAGCCTCCCAGGGCTCAGCAGCCCCACCCACCCTGCCTGTCTATCCTCTGGCTGCCCAGTTCTCAAGAAGCGGTCTGCTGCCGCCTTTGCTCTGGGGGCCATACTGCCCTGCCGCCATGTGCTTGTTGAGAGGTGTGACTTCTCCTTTTCCTCTGGGAATTCCAGACTGACCATCTACCATGACTAACAATGAACAAAGGGCTTAGGGGTAAGAGCTACCTACAAAGACGTGTCATGGAAACCTTCACCATGCAATGCCTTGAACTCAGCTCTGGCTGCTCCCAAGAAAAGGTGGCTGGCTAGGGGCCTGGACACAAGCACAACGGGGCTGGTGGAGCCACTGTGCAGAGCTACTTGAATATTCACTGGGTCTTCATCAACTCCTTTTGTAATACAGACCACTCAAGGGCTGAAGTGTTGGTAACCTTCATTTCGGTGTCCAATGCCTCACAGCAGCTGAGCCACCCTGAGATGCTTGTGGCCACATGATGGCCACAGTCAGAGCTTTGAAAGTCAGTACCAAATGAACGTATAATTGGACACCAAAAATCAAGTGTTACTCTCATGTTTCCTCACCCTGCCATCTCGTTTCTCCTCCTGACTGTGATCCCTACACTAAGCTGACCAGTCAGGCTGCAGCTGGCTGCACGCAGATGCCAGCCAGCACCATCTCTGGGTTTCAGATAGACCTACTCTTCGGGAAGGACTTGGCCTAGCTGCTCTGTTCTGTAGCACTTGATGGCTGGGTTTCCCTTTGCTAATCACTAACCAGGAAATCTGGCTAGGACTCAAATCACTCCCTTCAATCCCCAGGACCAGAGAGAGAGTTAATTCTGGAAAATTCAGTACTTGAATGTACCTGCCTTACTGTGTACCCATTCACTGGGGGGGGGGGGTAGTAATGCCGGCTCTAGATAGCCACTCACAGGTTATTTTGGGAATCCTGTAAGTTACACTGTCCTGATTTGTTGGGTTGGTTTTTTTTTTTTTTTGATTTTTTTTTTTTTAACATTTGGCTGATTCCTGCTGAGTTGGGCCAGTTCCTGTGGGGCTCAGGGCAGGTGCCGTTCTCAGGCATGGCCTCCCTTCCATCTAGCACAGCGTCTGTGTCTCTCTGTTCTGTCTCCTCCAAATCCAAGATGATTTTAATTAGTACAGACATGTACAGTCTACAGTTAAAGAGTGATTTGTACTAATATGATTTTGATTATTCCTCTTTGCTGTCCTTTCAAGACACTTGCTGGAAAAAGCTTTAATGCACTTAGTTTTCCTCTAGGTTTTCTATAACTCAGATGTAAAGGACTTCTTGTGTACAGTATATTATCCAATGCATGTTTGTTCTCTAGCCTAATATATCGAACACCACACAGTCGTGAACTCGTGCAGTGGGGACACCCCACACCCAGCGGAGGCCTCCAGCCCCGTGTATAAGGAAGACATTTCCTTTGCTGTACTTGCTTGAACAGTTTTATTGTCTGTACATGTGAGCTGTGTGAGATAGATGTGAAAAGTTTAAATGAATGCATTTTCCTGCCCCATGTATACAGAGCGTCAACTGTACAATGAGCTGTATGTATGAAAGCAAATGTACTTATTTATAAATGGTCAACACTTGGAGAAACCTGGTGTCCGGTGCTTTTCTCCTCCGTGCTCCGTCCAGGGAAGTGGCTTCCAAACTCACCCCCCTGAACGGCAGTGCCGAGGATGCCACCCCAGAGAAAACTTAGTCGGTGAGGCTAAGGCCACATTCCTGATGACTTGCTTGCTCAGGGTCGTGCCATCTGCATCTGTTCATCCAGTTGTTGACTGTCTCTGAAGTGGAGACTGATGGCCCAGGACAGCTCTGGAACCGCAGTGAAGCCTGACCGGCCATGTAAGCATCTCTGAGGTGGACTCTGATAGCACGCGAGGGGGTTGTTGGGCCAGGACAGCTCTGGAACCGCAGTGAAGGCTGGCCACGTGTTAGTGTGGGGTTAAGGCGGCCTAGTCTTCAGTAGCAGCTGTGCAGGAGCACTGGCCTCCCTTTAGTTTGCTTACTTGGAATGAGTTTGACTGATTAACCCTGGCCTCACTGTCCATTCTCAGGCTAGCCATAAACTCCTGAACTCAAGGTACTTTTGTCTTAGCCTCCCAGGCCCTGGCACAATCACCTTCAGAGGAGAGAAGGATCTTGAAAGAACCACATGCTATGTCTGCAAAACCATTTGCTTCATTAACAACTAGAAATTTTAAAGATTTATTTATTTATTATGTTCTGTCTGTCCGTATGCTTGCTGGGCAGAAGAGGGCACCAGACCTCATTACAGATGGCTGTGAGCCACCATGTGGTTGCTAGGAATTGAACTCAGGACCTCTGGAAGAGCAGGCAGTGCTCTTAACCACTGAGCCATCTCTCCAGCCCATAGAAATTTTTTAAAGTTTGCGAAAGCTTTTAAAGGATTTTAAAGCTTTTAAAGGATTCCTGGAGCACTGAAAGAATAAAACAAGGTAGAATTGAGGAAAATAATTTCTTAAAAGAATTTTCCTAGATGAAAAGCCAATCAGTGAAACGGTGAGCAGCAGATGTTCTCATGGGTTCTCAGAAGTGCTCATTACTCCGTCTCTTGCTGGCTGCCTTATGCTGGTCTATGAAGAAGCTAGACTCCACCGGCTGGGAAAAGTCAGGCAGCATCCAGTGGAGGGGAGGAGAGCAGGAGAGCCTAAAAGTCAAGCCACAGGAGCATGGAGCCCCTGATGACCGAGTCACCCTGTCCCCAGAAGTAAGACAAAACCGAGTGGCCTGGAAAGCCCAGGGTAACGGCCGGCCGGAAGAACAGGCGCAGCGTCGTTCTCTCATCCAGGCTGCGTTGTACCCAGAGACGGAGCTAGGGACTTGACACTCCTACCACACGCAGCAAGCCACTTTCATCAAGGTGCCTGGAGCAAGGCTCCCTATATGAACCTTATTTGCTTAGAAGTATTTAAAGCACATGGCCGAGAATATGTCACAGGCTGCTCCATCAAACACGGGGGGGGGGGGGGGGCACTGCCACAGCCTCTAAACTTGTTTCTTCCTACCTTTCTTGGCAGCTCTTTAAAAACAGTTTTTACTTACTGAGAATTTCATGCATGTTTATTTTGGTCATATCCACCCTCAGGCCCTCTTGACTCCTCCCAGACCTCTTCCATATATTCCTCTCAACTTCATGTTTTTTTTCACTCACTGAGTCTAGTTAGTGCTACAAGTATGTGCTGGATGTCAGGCCATCTGTTGGAGCAAGAGTAACCTAGCAACAGACTGTTCTTTCCACAGAAGCCATCAGCTAGAGCCTCGGCTAGGGGCCTGGGCTTTTGGCTGGCTTGGTCTAGTGCAGGTCATGTGCATACAGCTGTCATTGCTGCGAGTTGGTGTGCAGTGGCCCTGTCATGTCCAAAGATAACTTTGTAGCAGCAATCCTTGGCACTTAAGCTGTTTCTGCACCTCCCCTCCTTCATACTGACCCCTGAGCCTCGGGGAGAGGGATGAGGTATTATCACTCAACACTTTGATCATTTTTTATAGAACTGCCATCTCCTGTAAAGAGAAGCTTCTCTGGTGAGATTTTAGAGCTGCTTAAGTATTTAGAGAATAAGTTGATACTATGTCCATTTAGCAAAAGAAGAGAAGTTTAATGACCTCTAGAGCCAGTGATACCACAGGTTCTTGGGCCAAACGAGCCATGACTGTGGAGCAGGCCTTAAATTCAGTCAGAGGCTGTTGGTTACCCCCAGAACATCCATGCCACTATGATACCAACAGACATCTTTCCAGGCTGGTCACTGTTGCAGTTGGCAAGGGTTCACAATGGCTGGTTTTAAAAGCCAGGATCAGGGAAAATTGTGTCTTCTTTACCCGAGCCTCTAACAGATGGCCTTTCTCCAGAATGCTGTGCCAGAGCTCAAGTTTCTCACGGGCTCAGAGGCGAAGGCAGAGCTCAGAATCTCTCCACCCCGCTGCTGCTTCTCTCAAAGGGGTGGTCAAGGTGAAAACCATCAGAAGGGCACGGAAAGAGGCCTAGGCACTGCGTCCATAAGCAAACCCTGCTACACATGGCTCAAATTCAAAAGAGTTGACATGAGGACCTCTCAGGATTCCAAAGCCAGCCAGAGGGAGCCCTCCCTTGCTCTCATCTAACTTAAGATCTGCATAGGAGTCAGAGCGCTGGTATAGCCTAGCCTCCAATGTCTGGCATCATTTGGAAATTCATAATGAGAGCACAGGATTCAAGGTCACCCCAAACCCAGAAGTAAGATGAGACCTAGCACTCACAATCAGGATCCCTCTACCTTCTCCCACAGGGAGAAGCCTGTGTTTGACATTGATAGCTGCTTGTGCATGCACTAAGCAATGTGCTTTAGATACCTTTAAAGAAGTGCAAGTCCACAAGGAAGCCTTGGTTGAAAGTAGTGATTCTCAACCTGTGGGTCATGACTCCTTTGGGGGCCAAATGACTTGCACAGGGGTCACCTAAGAGCACTGGAAAACATAGATGATTTACATTATGATTCATAACAGTAGCAACGTTACAGTTATGAAATAGCAACAAAAACAATTTTGTGGTTGGGGGAGTTGCTACAACACGAACTGTATTAAAGGGTCACAGAGTTAGGAAGGTTGAGAACCACTGGTTTAGAGGAAAGACCTTGATTCTGGCTCCTATATAGCAACCAGCAACAGACGTAAAGCTGAACAAATGCCGGAAAACCACTTTACTCATGAGAGGGTTTCCTGTAAGCTCCCTTAGATAGCGAGCTCCAAACCGGGTGGTGGTGGTGCACACCTTTAATCCCAGCACTCAGGAGGCAGAGGCAGGTGGATCTCTGTGAGTTCAAAGCCAGCCTGGTCTACAGAGTGATTTCCAGGACAGCCAGGGCTGTTACACAGAGAAACCCTGTCTCATAAAACAGAAAGAAATAAATAACTCTCTAGTAAGGTATTTTTAGCTTTATTTCTGTCATTGGGGTTTTTATTTCTGTTTGTTTTATTTGTCCTGATACAGAACCAAGGGCCTTGCCTATGCTAAGCAAGTACTCTACCACCTCTAGTCCTGTTATTTTAAGACGGGGTCTGCCCTTGTAGTCCAGACCAGCCTCACGATCCTCCTGCCTGCCATGTGCCGTGATGAGACATGTCAGACATGTGCCACCATGCACAGGAAGGCAAGTGAGACCCAAACTTCCATAAGCATAGCTCCTGCACGAGTCACACAACCAACCTAACACAGAATCTCCTCTTCTTAAGGATCAGAGAGAGATGTTGAAAGGGTCAAACAGACAAGGTACTTGGGCACCAGCCTTCCCAGGCTCAGGCAGGTAAAAAACAAGGGAAGCTCTGAAAGGACCTCAGAGTTGGCACAAGACATCCCAAGACTAAGTTCTCCGCACAAAGGAGATTTATTTGTCCCAGAGGGACAGAGGACAGGGAATAAGAGACAAAGACAGGGGATAGAGGATGACGGAGAAGGGGAAAGGGTATTTGCCCTGGAGAGACAAAGGACCTGCCTCTGGATAGAGAGGCGACAGCTGTGGCCCACAGGCAAATGGCGGTTTATAAAAGGTACAAGGGGAAACCCCATGTTGGGGTGAGTTGGTTTGTTTTGATTATGTCAGTTGGGGTAACCAAAAGGGGGCTTTTGATTGCTGGACTGCAATAGTTTGATAGCTGGATCTTAATGGTCAGCCTCAGGAGGAGGAAGTGGCCAAATAAGTGACTAGACGCAACTAGCTTTCAGGATGAAGTCTACAGTTTAGCAGGGCAGAGGAATGGCAGACAAGGGTAAGAGAAGAACTGTGGGCGCCATGTTTGCCATGCTTGGGCCTCCTAGAGCCCTCTAGGATCCCCTCCACGGGGGCCAAACCCGACCAATACAGAGACCTGTGTGTCCTGTGCTGAGAATCTGCCAGTCACTTTATCTGCGGTACCCACCCTGGGGACAGTTTCTCTCATCCCTAGTAGAACTAACTTCGGAATCTGACGGCATAAAGCTTTGGGTCCTTTTCTTGCCCCCACAAATGAAAACAGAAGGCAAGTAGTCGGCTGTAAAATGTATTGATTCATCCGCTGCACCAACAACACACTGTACGTCACAGGAGACAGCCACAGGCAAACACAAGAAACCACACACATCTGCTTGGGGGCCTTCTTTGGTCCTAAGTCATGTATCATACACTTTGGCAGAAAGACTAGTTTACAGGCTCTCGATGAGTTCTGGTTTTCTGTGTAGTCTGGCACGGGAGATTCACAATGGTACTCAGGGTTTGTCTAAAGACAAGTCTCCCACATGTAAACATTCGACTGTTTCAGTGTGCCAGCTGATGAAAGAATCGATAAGATCCCTATCCTTGCAGCATACTCAATTGAAACTGGAGGCAAACCCACCATCCCTGCAAATGGTGAGCTGGAGGAGCCAGGGTAATGGGCAGCCTCGGGGAGGGGGGGGGGAGACCCCAGGGAGTGGGGGCTCCACCACTGCTGGAGAAAGAGACCCACCGCACAATTATACAAGAAATCTGACAGAAGTCCGGCCTCTTAACCTAAAGGAATTATCAGGTTCAGAAACTGCTAATCTCCTTGTTAACTTAACCATGTCTGTCAAGGCCCAGGAGAGGAGAGAGCGGTTGCCAAGCCCAAGAAGCACGAGACCAATGCTCTAATCACATTGTTTCTAGACTCAAGCCAAGCAGTGACTCAGCTAACAACACAACAGGCGGCAGGGGTTGAAGCTGTGTGCAGACACCACAGGAGACCAAGCCCATTCCTCTGTCCACTTCAGTCCTATTGTCCAGGGAAGATGGACCCAGGTGTGGGAGGACAATAATCCTCCAGGGCTGCTTCAGTCAAGTCGGGGCAACCCAGAACCCCCCTGGAGAGCAAGACAAACAGCAGAAGGTATGCGACCTGCCCTCCTGGACCCTGTCCAGGCTGGCCTGCAGAAGGAAACCAGGGCTCAGTCCCTGTTGAAGAGAGGAACTGCTGGGTGGACAGCAGGAGGCCCCTCGCCACCAGCAGCCTGCCCTCATCCACCAGGGCAGGTACATACTTAAGTTCTGAGCACCTAGTCCCTTCCCTGAAAAGCCTATTTAAGGCTCAGGAGTTAAAGACCAGAAAGGTCCACGACAGTGTGGACCTTTGGCCAAGCCACATGGCTCTTTCAGGGGCCAGACTCAACCCTTTGGGGGAACCTCAGTCTGAACACCAGCATACTTTACACATCGTATCACTTGCTCTACTGCCAAGGACGCGTGCTTCCCGAGCTGCTAGGACTCCTGGGTTGAATGCACAAGCAGCAGGCTTGGCTTTTCCACACCAGTCCCTCGGCCCCCAGCCAGCAGCTGCCTGGAGGGTGGAGCTAGCTCCCCTAAGGATCAGGACCAGGCTTGACCCCAGTGCCCCTGATCAAGCTTCCTGCAAGTGAATGGGCAGCAGGGGGTACAGGCGGGCCCACACGTGGCTCACAGGATGCATCAGAAGCTGCAAGCAGGAAGGAAAAGCAGAGGACAAAGCCAAAACCTGAAATCCCACTAAACTAACACCACTGCCCGGCAGGCACTCCTAGACCTAAAGTTTCAGGCTCTGCAGGGAGGGGCAGAAAGATATCCAAGAACCCACAGAACCGGGAGGATCACCCAAGGCTGTCACTGGGGACTGGGGCTGTCTCCCTCTGTCAGCGTCTTGAAGTCCATGGAGAGGGCTTGCTCTTCAGCCTGGGAAGGCCGCTTCCAGTCAGCTTGAGCCAAGATGTAGAGCACAACCACCCCAAAACAGACCAGCAGCAGGCCCAGCACGTTGGCCAGGACCCCCTCGGGTTCGAACTTGCTGTACTTGGTCCTGTAGGGCAGGGTGAAGGTAGAAGCCACCAAGGGTTCCAGTTAGGACAAGTGCAGCCCAGGCCTCAAAGACGCCAACCCTTCTACCCTCCCTGTGAGAAAAGCCAGCTCAGAAAGAGGCCTCCAGTAAAGCAGGGGACACTGGAGGCCCTGCCTCTTCAGGACACTTACCCAAGTTTGAACAGCAGCGCCTCCTTCAGGCCCAGGAGGGCTGTGCCCACAGAAAGAAGGAAGATGGTGGCGCCATAAAATATGTGCTGTGGGCGGTACCGGCTCCGCAGAGAGAACGAAGCTCCGGGGAACAGGAAGAAGCTGAAACCCACAAGCCACTAAAAGGAGAAAGGACTCTGCTGAGCCATGAGCTGGCTGTGACCTAACTAATAGGAGGCCACCAAAGGACCCCTGCATCCCCTCAAGTGCAGTGGAGCAGAACATTTATAGGAAAGGTAGCCTGGTCCCCAAGACTCGAAGCCGTTTGCCTTGAGGCCTTGGGCCTCCAGCAGCAGGTTCATCACCCCATGGATTCGAGAAGCTAAGGCATGTGATTCAATGCTTACACAGCGTCAGTGGGAAGGACAAAAGGCCTGGGGCACCCTGGCCTCTGAAATCCTAAGCTTATACCCAATTCAGCCTCTGAAAATAGCATCCAACTAAACTGACCTTCTCTCTCTCCTCTGGACATGAACCCTGAAAAATGGGCCCATCTATGGCACACCTGAGCCCCACTACCCTCGCCTCCCCGTCCCTGGGGTTAGACTCACCTGCACAAAATAAAGAACAAAGACTAAGATCCCACACCAGCTGTGCAAGCTGTACAGGTCTGGATAGCTCTTCTTCCTGTGATAGTCGAACACGGCCACCAAGCCTGGAGCGGAGGGCAGGGGCCATATGAGGACAGGGCTGGACATGGAAAAGGGAGAGGAGGGGAGACCCGGGGGAAACTGCTAGCCAGAACTTCTGGGCTTTGGTCCAGGCCGATGATGGCCAGCATCCCATCCCTGCCTGGGATGCCGGAGGAGGAGAGTGGGGCAAGGCAAGCAGCCTGGAGCAGGGACTGTCTGCCCAGCTGCCGAGCCAAAAGCAGCAGGTGGGGAAGGAAAGGCTGCACCCAAGAACTCACCCAGCAGGGTGATGATGAGAGCAACGACATGAAGCAGCCCGTGCAGGATCTTGGTCGTGCGTTTGGCTTCTTTTCTGAAGACACGGTACACCAGGAGAGCTTGTGGAAGTGGATAAAGCTTTAAGTGTACAGGCCTGTGCTGGACACACCGGCGAGCCTGTGCTGGACACACTGGCAAGCCTGGCTGGCTAGACAAAGGTTTGTGCCAGGAGCTTCTTAAGGTTTGACAATTACATAAACTGGAGGAGGGAACAGGATTGCACAGGGACCTTGCACCCATCCTGGCTTTGGTCCAGGGTGCCCTGTCTACCCCATGCACACTCAAGGACCAGGAGAGGGGCTGTGTCACACTTCCACCCACTCAGAGCAGCTGCTGGGCCTGAGCACCGCGTGGCCTTTCCAGGTGTCCTAGAACTCATTGATTCGGGAGCTCAGGATTCGTCTTGCAGTCAGACTGCGGTGCTGGCCATTCTGGAGCCCTTCCTAGGTGGGGAATCACTGCGCTTGGCAGGCAGACTCCCAGCTTCCAAGGCTTAATGTGATCCTGCCCAATCTCCACTGCTGCTGGGGGGGGTGGGAGGTGGCTGTCGGAACCCCCACCCCACCCCCACACAGCTCCCTGAAGGCAGCACTCAGGCCAAGCACCTGCTCGCACTTATCCCAGGGACAAGCACGCTAGCTCAGCCATGTCTCCATTCAGCAATCACACATGTACATGTGTCTACTTTCCCAACGTCCAGCTGCCCCTGAAGATAGTGTCGCTCACCACTCAGGCTGGCTCCACTGTAGAAGGCAGCCATGGCCCCTGAGATGCCACCTGCTAAAGGCAGCTATCACCCTCCAGCCCCAGGTTCCCTGGACTAGCCCCAGGACTCACCATCTCCTTGCAAGAAGATCATGCCTATGACCATGCAGAGTGGGTGCACATTGAACTGCAGCGAGCTGTTCCAGGCAATGCCACCTCGGTACAGACCCAGCCATGCGCCAGTCACAGCCACCACGGTGAGGCCCAGCAGCTGGGAGAAGGCCACGTAGTACGGCAAGGCAGCAGGGACGGAGGCACCACCGGGCTCCATGCTGACCCCAGCTACAGGAGACACAGAGCTCTAGGGAGCCACTCACAGCCTTCAGAAGGCACACTCTGCCTCGTGACAGCTGCCACTTCTCCATGCCAGAGTCTAAGCTGTGCGCCCTAGCTTTCACTGGGAGGCCAGGCCTACCCACAGAGGCAAACTGACCTGGGTACACTGGAGGGCACAAGTTTAGAAACGTCCTGAGCGGATGCCAGCATGGGCCCCATCCCTGGGTTATAAGTCCTATTTCCTGAGGCCCTGGGTGTTCTGGGATGGGGTTGGCAGATACATCAGAAACACAAGCACATACCCTGAAGGTGTGGAGCTTACCACTCCCTTCTCCACATAGATGGAAAAGTCCTTCCTGGGTGGGAATAGAAGCCTTGCTCCTTCACCCATTTGTAAGCCTCAAGCCCTAATCCTAGTGGAGAGCCATGGGCACCCAGAGAGTCAATCCCCTTGTTCTGTGTAGCTGTATTCTGCCCTGCTGTGCCAGACCACAGGCCACTCCAGGAGCCCCAACTCCGTTCCTTCCAGCTCCTTTCCACACCAAGGGTGGAAGGGGATGCTGTTCCCCGCTCCGGTGAGGTTTCCAGAACTAGGGGCCCCAGCAGTGTGGCCTCATAGGCACCTGCTGAACTGCCGATGGTCTATGCAGGAAGACAGAGCAGGCATGTTGCCATATGAGGAGACACCACCTGTACCAGGAGACCCGTGGAAGGCTCTGGTGCATGCAAGCCTCCCCATGCAGCTCAGGCCAGCTCTCAACCCTCCCCCTGTGTGTTCTCCTGTCCCCCTGTTCCCATTAGGAAAGAGGTGGAGGGGAACAATCTGGTCTGGCCTCTGTTTCTCTTGCCTTAGGGCTGGCAGTGGGACTCAAAGGTCCCACTCTGGCTAGACAAGGCAGCTCCTCGGGTTGGTCAGCTCCAGCGCTGCCTCCCAGTTCTCTGACAGCAGCTCCTGCATTTGAAAAGAACGATGCAGTTAATAATACACTCTGTGAACAGACAAAAGCAAGTCACCCGCGTCCCCGCATGCACTGATCAGAAATACGTATACATTTCCCATGGAAACAGGCCCAGGACACCGTCATCCCATCTTCATGTCCTGGCATAGCACACACATCTCCTCATGTGGATAAGCATACTTCTTCTGCCTCATTGGTTCAACAACTTCACATCATCACACTGTACTTGTCTCTGTCTCTAACTGAGCTCCTAACTCCTGCTGCCTGGCTCTGCGGTCCTGCACTGAACGGCATGAAGGGGGCCTCTCAGCCTTCATGGGATAGGCACCACCTGGAGATCTGTGTGAAGCAGGCTGGCCTCGTTCTCAAATTCTTGACGTGTTCTTTCAAGTCATCCCTGCCAAGTGGGAACTCTTTCTGAACCTCTAGCCAGGAGTTAACCCCTATTTCTGGACCTCTTGCTGCTATTCCTATCTGTCCCCTCACGTGACTGCCAAGTCTCCTGCCTATTCGGTCTTCCCTCAGATTCCCACTGCACTGCCACGTCAGCCATGTCCAAGATCAGTGTCCTCCCATCACAACCAGGCCCTCTCAAGACCCCAGACAGCCCAAGGGCTCCCAGATCTCTGTCATCTCGTTCCTCTCAGCCATCTTCGTTGCCCTGCCAGATCAGGACACAAGCCTCTCTCTTTTCAGTCTGCCTGACACACTAGGACATGCCTTGCTTTCTAAGTCATATCACCCTTGCCAGCCAGAGAAATGCCCGCTGCCACGTGATCCTAATTTGTCCTTCCGCAGCCCCACTATGTCCCCACTAGGTCCACGTGGAGGCTTCAGCTCACTGGACTGGCGACACAGCCTGCGGTTGGTACCCTCCTCCTGGTGAAGCCCAGCTTCCTGCTCCGTGCTGCCTACACCACCCTGCAGATTCACCCCAGGGCAATGGCATCTTGCTCACTACTTTGTCCCCAAGTGCAGCTCAAGCCCCTCCTAAGTACTCAAGGCTCCCCAAAACTTCCTTACTCTCTTGGGTTCTGTCCTACATTAATCCCGCGATGCTCTCGTGTCCTGTCTGCTCCTTGAAGACAAGGTCACTCCACCCTTCTCCAAGACTTCTCAGGTACCCAGCAGAGACTGCTGTCCTTTGTCCTGCCTCCTCTCCAAGTCCCTCCCCCCGTTATTAGATTCATCTCCCCAGAGCCTGAAGCACAGCAGAATCTGATTAGCTCCCAGTGAGGGAGAAAGCAGGAACAGGTGACCTGCCACGGTTTGTCAGGCTTCAGACAAGACAAAGAGCAGATCTGGGCCACGGGTCAGCCACTTGGTCTGCCATAGGCTGCTTTTTCTGTCCCAGTCAGTCTCCTCATAGGCAGAGACCCTATGGTAGTGAGGGAGAGGATGGCTTTACCGTCTCTCACTGGAAATTCAGTCCTGAATTCCCTGTGGTGGACGGGAGTGCCCGCATGCTGTCTACACACCACCACCCAGGGTGAGGAGGAACCCGTCTGCGTCAGGAGTGCAGGGACCCGACAGCAGAGCACCCCACACTCTGCACCTCTCTGTTTAACCCTCGACAGCACTGTGAGTGAAACAAGAGTGTTTGTTACCCAGGTGTCACAGATGGGAAACGAGGACTCAAAGGCAACAAAGTTGTGCTCAAAATAACCATCAGCAAATTAGCTGCTCCACCTGCAGCTGCTGCTTGTAGCCACCATTAGATGCTGGAATTCCACAGCAGGGGCTTCCGGGCGAGTGTTAATGGTGGCAGGTGTTCTAAGTAGGGCCATAGAGGTCTAGGGATGTAGCTCAGTGACAGAGACTTGCTGGGCCTACTTAAGGTCCTGGATTTACTCCCCAACCCCCAGCACTGCCGAAAATGGGATGGGAGCGGGACTGGGAATGGGGATTGAAAACTGGAGGTAACCCTGCATGGCCCTTCCCACCAGGCTAGGGAAAAGGCACCATCCTTTGCCAAAGGGCACAGTCTTCTGTGACTCCTCCCCGGGGGTCGAGGTCTCCACCAGCACAGTGGTTCTGGACTTCCCAGGGCCCAGTAGCTAGGGTGACGCTGTCACACTTTCCAAACACTTAAGCCAGTCAAGGCTCTGGTGGTCCCAGCTGAATAAGGGACTCCCCAGGTCCCTGCTCACCCTCAGTACTGCCACAACACAAGAACAGGTGCTGCCTACAGCTCTCCAGGAGAAAATGGGTACAAGCGGGAGAAAGAGGTGTCAGAGGAGTGCCTGAGCAGCAGAGGCTCAATTTCAATTTACTCTGAGGTAGGGCACCCAGCCAAGCAGTCCTGGGAGCAAGAAAGCCAACCTGAGGAGAAAGTGAAGCAGCCTGGCCTCCGAAAGAAAATGGGGTGCTTTGGGTGCAAAGCTGAGGCTACAAAGTGATGCTAGAGGCACAAGAGGGGCTGTCGCCCCCTAGCAGGACCACTCCCCGTGGCAGGCATGGCTTGCCTGCAGGGCGCTCATTCAGGCAGTGCTAGCTATACTCAGAAAATCCGGAGCTACAGAAAAAATAAAGCAGGACCAACCAGCTACAATCCCAGCACTTGGGTTACGGCAGGAGGATTCCATATTTCAGGCCAATTTGGGCTACACAGGGAGACCCTGTTTCAAAAACAAAAAAAAAATGTTGATTGCCCTGTGCCTCATGGAATCCTTTAGTAAAATGCTCCCTGCTGCAGCTCAGTTCAGGACAGCTAAGAGCTCTCTGTGCCTGGGGCAGATGTCCCCAAGGCTCTGGACAGAGTGCCTCCGCCTGTGGCATGCCTGCATCTGCAAGCTTTAAAGGGGTTTGAGTTGTCCCCCTGTGAGCATGCACATGTGCATCATGGTCCCTGGTCACCCCAACAGTAAGAACACCCTACCCTTCCCTCCTAATGTGGATGCTGCTCCCTATAACCAGTCCTTGCCTGTGTCCCCTAGCAGAACATAGGCTATGGCTTCACAGCCTAGAAATGGCCACTCTCGACCCTAGGTTTCCTCAGCTTCCACAGACCTGTGTTCTCGCTCCCTTTCCCTCCTTCTCCATTCTTTTTTATTTCTTTCAAGACAGGGTTTCACAGTGTAACCTAGGCTGGCTTCTAACTCGACATCCCCCTGCCTCAGCCTCCTGACTCCAACATCACACTTGATTCACACCAGAGTCTTGCAAGGAATGGGAGCTCATGTAGCCCCTTACATGGCTACTCCCCTTCCTTCCTTAGAGTTCAGGGTGACAGATCTCCGGACTGTGACAGTCAAGTAGATACACCCCCAATCTCTACGCACCACCTGCAGACTGACTCCCACGTAATGCAATCACACAGGGACACAGCTACCCGCAGGGCTTAGCCTGTGCTGAACATCACGCTCCGTCTCCAGGCCCACTGTGTTTTATTAAAAGGCGACCATGCCTAACCTCATTACTGGTACCAGACACCGCTCATGCAGTACAGCCCAGGAGGCAGCGGTGGAGCAGAGGAAAGCTGGACCCTGGGAAACCTGGCTTGGCCACAGCCCTCCCTATCAGCCGCAGGCTTTTATTGAGTTAGAAAAGACTACAGTGGGGGCAGGAACTAGAGCTTTCCTTGGTGGGTGAGACCCTAAATGTGCAGAGACAAAAGGTGAAGAGAAGCAGAGCTGTTGCACGGGGCACCCAGGGCGCTCCAGGCAGAAAGTGGGCCCGAGTCTGTGCCAGAACCCACAACAGTTAAAAAACAAAGGGAAAAGATCACTTTAAAGGTTGAAGTGATTTAACTTTTAATCCAATATGCATGTTGTCTTTGTAGGAAATTTGAAAATGTCCTTATTTATTTTTATGGAGGAAGGCCCCGTGAACGCCAAAGCACCCAGCACATCTCTCAGAGTTGCAATGCAGCCTGGGTCACAAACAGGTCAATTCAGAGTGTGTTCCACTGGTTACTACTGTGTCCCTTCTCCCAGCTGGCCTCCTCAACTCTAAGGCCTACGTTACTGGACTGCAGAAAAGATAAATGGGAAAAAATTTGCCCAAAAGCCTTGTACAGTGCCTGCCACCTGGTGAGCGCTCAGCCAAACAGCAGTTGAACAAAAATGGTATCACCTGGTCATAAACAGCACAACTCCCCCCCCTATCAGGCCACGTGTTCCTCCTGCCCACCACCAACCCATGCCCCATTTATTCTATAGAAACTTCTAGAGTATGTATGGAAGACTGTCAAACGGTCTGCATTTAATTTTTGTTGTTGGGGAGTGGCGTTGAACCAGCATCTCCCTCTGTAGCCCAGGCTGGCTTTAAACTTGCAATCTGCCTGCCTCGGCCTCCTGAACCCTAGGGTCACAACCCCTTGTTGCCACACATGACCAAGATGGTAGTTTTAATCTCTGAAATTTTATATTCCCACTTTTATTCTAATTAATTATGAGTTAATTCGAAAATAGAGAGTGGAGTTCGGCATGGTGGCCTTTAATCCCAACGCACAGATCTCTATGAGTTCAAGAAGCCTGCGCTCTGCCTACCCAGGGACCCAGAGACAGTGGCAGAGCAGGGCAGGGCATCTGTGGGTGATTCTACTTCTGGTTCCAGGAGCTCCTCCTTCCCACAAGGGGTGGGGCTTGAGCAGTCCAGGATTTTCCACCCAGACCCAAGTGCGGGGAGCAATCCCGGTATTTAAGGGAGGTGGCCATGCTTTGCTTCGCTTTGTTTTGCTATGAAAAGAACAGGACGGAATCCAAGAGATGGAACTTTTCTTAAAGAATTTTAGAAAACTCTCAGATTGTCAAGACAGAATGGCAACCAAAAGGGAAGCCAGAGTCCACAAGGACCCTCCTGTGACTTGTGATGCCGCGCGAGAAAAGGGGTAGGGGGTTAGAGAAGTGACCGGAAAGGGGAGGTGGCCAAGGCCAAAGCATGAAGCCAGGCTTTCTCCCAGTCTAGGAACTCCTAATTCCACCCGAGGAAGGCGGGATGCAGAAGAAAGGATCTACCTGGCCCGCACTTGAGCGCAGACACCAGCCTCGGGGACAGTGGGGGGTTCAGCTAAGAACGGACCTGCCAAACGCAGACGGGTCCACTCCCACCCACTTTATTTTAGAATATAGTCACAGACCCCTAGACTTGAACTCAGGTCCCCATTCTAACTCCAGCAGAGACGCGGCCCGAGGTCCCCAGGCTGCCTCTCCCGGTTCCCAGCAGCAGGAACTCACGCGTCAGGCCGCCGCCTCGCGGGGCCACTGCAGGGGACAGGCGGGGCGGGGCCCCGGTCGGCGCGGGCAGGTGCGCGCGGGAGAGCGGCTCGAAGCCCGGCGTCGCCTGGCCCCAGTCCCCGCCGCCCCTCCGCATGGAACTCGGCTCCCTGGCACCCAGTCGCCTACCTGGTCCCGCCGCCGCCCGGCCTGTGCGCGTCCTCGCGCCGCGCCGCGCCCGGGCCGCTCTGCCGGTTCCGCGGGCCACGGCGCGACGGCGTCGCCATGGTGACAGCGCGACGGCCCGGCGGCGGTAGCGCGCACGAGGAGGCGACGGTCACCTGCGCCGGAAGTACCGCCTGGCGCGGGCACTCGGGGGCGCACGGCGGCCACACCGACCCAGCAGCGTCGGGACCAGCGTGGGCAGGCGGTGGTTGGCGGGGCGGATGCGGCGCCTCGGTTCCCGGTCTCTAGCCTCTCTGCTCTCGCCACTTCGGAACCCGGGAAGCCGCTAGGTGTCAGGCCCCGCCTGGGTCCAAGCTCAGCTCCCGTAACCCTAGGGTCACCTCTCCCAGCCCCCGTGGGCGGAGATGGCACTTTACACTTTACTGGAAGGCTGGGAATAACCCTGGCCTCCCCGCCTCTGCACACCCGCCACACGGACGCTGTTGTTGATAGTTTACCTCCCTCTTTTTTCCACTCCAGGACACACACAAACACACACGGAGGGAGGGGAGGAGGAGGGGGAGAGACACCAATCTAAGGCTAGATACCGTTCGTCCAGTTTCTCATTTAAGGCTTAGGCCTGTTGCCAAGGTCTGTACTTAAGACAGGAGGTTGCCAAGGCCGAGGCTGGGAGCTTGGGCAGCAGATCCTGGCCCCCTGTCCAGGAAGTGCTATGGGTAGATAAGAGCCCGGCTCAGACTTCCTACAAGCTGGGAACAAAAGGTTCTTTCCTGTTGGATGCCTGGCCAGACTCACCAAGAGTCCAAGAATGAGACAGAAATGGGGTATTTCCCCCTGTGCATCAAAACATCTTTGTGGGACGGGCCTCTCCCACCTGCCCTCCCCCAACAAAGGCTCCTCGGAGGAGCTTCCCACAGGCAGAAGCCAGAATTGGGGCGGGAGGAGGGGGTCCTTAGAAAGGGTTCTGTCTAGGGTATGGTTGAGACAAAGCCAAGAACCGGAATTCTGTTAAGGTAGCTTTTCATCTGGCGGAAGTGAATGGACATTTTAAGGTAAGCAGCAGCTTCCTTGGTGTGCTAACAGGCAAGCAGCATGCTTATAAACTAAAGATGGAGCAGAGCCATTTCTCATTGTTTGGTGGGTATATTTGGGCTTCTGGGAGGAAAAGGAGGGACAGATTTGGCAGTGGAATCTTGTTTAAGTGTTGAGTTCCCTAGCTACGGTGCAGGGCTTCCAGTGCCTTCCAAAGCCAGGGAGAGTCCTGCTGGGGATTCATGGAACCCTACGGGTCTTTGTCACCTTCCCCCTACTCCCCACATGGGGCCTGTAGCAGGCTGCAGTGCTTTTCCCTAGAAGGGGGCCTGTGGGGGACACATCCACATACAGTGTTCTCAGGGGCCTGCCGAAAGTGAGGTGTGACTCCAGAGAGGCTGAGACCTGTGCCCCAGATCAGAGCTTCTGGGGCCTCGGCTGTAAAGGTTCCTGTACCCCACTTTAAAGAATGGGGAGAACATCACAGAGCTGTCAAAAACTGATGCCCAGCCTGGTCCAGCTGCCGGAGTCCCCGGCTCAGAACAGGGAACCTCCAAAACGCCTTTGCCCCTCTCCTGGTGCAGGAATCGCCACCTCCAAAGCCTGAGCCGTGTGCATCTGCAGCTACGATGTAGGGGGCAGAAGGACATTCCTCCCACTTCCCTTTCTTGGGCCACCATCCCCTGTAGTCCAGGCTTGGACGCTGAAGATGTTTGTCTACAGAAATCCTCCCTTGGCGCTCGCGTCCCCTGCTCTGCTGGCCTCGTGGTTTCTCACATGCAGTGTTGATTTCTCCTGGGAAGAGTCTTTCCTGGGTCATCCCTGAACTCATTCCTGCACGTCTCCAAGCTCACTGCTTCAGACCACCAGCATGACACTATAGGGAGGGTTGGAGGTGTGACTACCTCAGACTCGGTATGCTGGGGACGACTCGGGGGCGCAGAGCCGGAGCAGAAGGAGCACTGAACATGACGGATCCTGTTCTTATAGCCAGACTGCCAGACGGAAGTCTCACCCTCTACCTGATGGATTCTTTCTCCCCAGGGTTACAAGGCTCAGAAAGCTGAGGGGAAAGTCAGGACTCCCAGTTAAATTCCTATTTTAAAAATTCAGCATGAATATATCCTAATCATTCCTCAAATGTAGCCTGGTCTCCTGTTTTTACTCAAAGGTAAGTTTTAAAAATTTTTGTTCATCTTGCCATGGAAGCCCAGTGTAAGCTTAGCTCCCAAGGGTTTCTGGTTCCTAGAATCCAGAGAACTAGGAAGAGGGATGCAGGAATCCACACGCCTGAGCCAAACAAATTCATATCAGCTCTGAAAGCTGGCCCCTGGCCTGCTGTGTCCCTGGCCAGTTCTCAGCCCACACAGCAACATCCCTAGGCCCCCATCTACACCATCCTCAGACTCGGGCGGCAGCATCCTTGTGTATGGTATGCAATGGCTACTGTGATAAAGTTATAAGTAGAATCGTGAGTCACTCTGGAGGAAAAGCTGGGCACTGGCGGTGACCGAGGGAGCAGAGACCCAGGAAGGATCAGAGCATACATTGGAACAGCTGTCATGGGGACAAGAGTGGCAGCCAGGCAAGACACTAGCCACAGTGCTTCCAGCGCCACCAATGAAGGCAGTGAGTTTACCTGGGACCTCAGGAACACTAAGGGGCCAAGGGACAGAAAAGACTGGGCTGTCACCCCATCCCTGGTTGATCCCAAGGCTGGCATCTACAGTCAAACAGCAGAACTGTAGGTACTGAATCCAGATGCAGAGAAGCAGTGAGGGGTGACATTCAGACTGACTGGCCCCTGAGGGGACAAGACACGGGCTGGCTAAGGAACCAGCCCTGTGATGGAAGTGGTTGTGTTATCATCTGGGGGGTGTATGGGTCAGGTTCATGTTCTCTGCCAGTTAAAGAAGTCAAAGGCAGCAAAACTCTCCAATGCCGCAAACAGGAGCAGGCAGACCACAGCTGAAGGAGAGCAACTTATTAAGAGTGAGGACACATGCACACGGCAAACACTCAGAGAAAAAGACCAGCAAGCTGACGTGGGACTCCGGAAGCCAGGAGACCCAGTCTCTTCTCAGGCTGAAGAGTCTTCTTCCCCTGAGTTAAGATTGGTCCGAAGATAACAGAGTCGCTGATTGGCACGACTGTTGTGTAAACACATCCTCGTTTGGCCCTGAACTTGTCGAACCAGTCCGACAGCAGGTGGTCCCCCATGCAAGGAGCCCACAAGCCTTTGTTTGAAGCTGACAAGCTTTTGTCTCTGGTCAGGACGTGGAGGAAGAAGATGGCCATCTTGGGAAGGTGATCTTCACCAACTAACCACGGCCCTTCTCCCTGTCTGTCTGCCTGCCAGAGAGTTTGTCTATCTCCCTGTCCTTCAGTGTGGCAGCATTGGGGAACCATACTTTTAAGTGTCGTTTTCTCCTGTTTTCCTCCCTCCTTTCCCTTGTTCTCTTCCTCCTTCCCTCCCTTCCCACTTCCTTCGAACGCGGGGGTTACTGGACGCCGGCTCTGTGCCAGGCATTGTTGTAGGCCCTAGAGAGCCAGTCATAATGAATGTAGACAAGGACCCTGCCTACAACTCCTTGATGGAGAACTTATATCTAAGTATGTAGAGATGGGAGGCTGGCACACAAACAGACCATCAGAGAGCAGGTGTGATGCACAGGACATCTGCGCAGTCTTCATAGACACATAGGTGGAGCTGGGTCTGACCACACTGGCCATGATCAGCGGAACCTAGCCAGACTCCGCCTCACATACTCCAGGCATTCCTGTGGCTAGTCCTCGGGCTAAGCAAGAGGCCCTGGAGCCAGGCCAGCCCTGACACCACCCTCTCTGCAGCCTTCCCTCCAGGAAAGAAATGTGAAGTTTGTGTCCCAGTCACGTGTTCAGTCCCCATCTGCCTACTGCTCTCCCTGGCCAGTCAGTCATCTCATCTCCCGTGAAGCAGCGAGGGCACCAGAGAGAACGGGACCCTATAAGCTGGAGCCAGAGGGAAGCCCTGAGGGCAGAGGTGTTCGTGCCCTCCAGTGGCGTCAGCAGATGTGTGTGTAGAAAGGGTGGAGACGACAGCCCTCTGGTCACCTCCACCAACCAGCCATACACCACAGGGCAGGGACTCCTGCACTTTGTCCAAAGCCTGGGTCCTCTGGGAGTTCCCATTTTGGTTCCTGAAGCTGTAGGCGCAGGTTCTCAGCCAAGCTCTACACTCTGAGGGAAGCAGTGGAGTACGATGGCCAGGCTGAGCAGGAACAAGCAGAACCTTGGGGTACCCCAATGTGGGCTGCAGTTCTGACAGTGATTCCAGTCAGAACTTCATCGCAGCCTTCTCCCCAGGCAGGATTCCTGCTACATCCATGTCTTAGTTAGGGTTCCTATTGCTGTGAAGAGACACCGTGACTGTGGCAACATTTAATTGGGGTGGCAGCGTGCAGGTCAGACGTTCAGCCCATTATCAACATGGTGGGACACGGCAACGTGCAGGCATTATAAATCTTTATAAATCCTCATTAGAGTTATCACTCAAAACCACATGACAGAGGTTTTATGAGGCTGTTTTGAGATTTTATCTGCCAATGGAATTAATCCAAAATTCTTCACTTTAACTTCAAGCAGACTTGAACGAGGGCAAAAGGCAACCACTTTCTTCACCAAAATATCACAAGAACGATTTCTAGGCAACATACTAAAATTATTCTCCTCTGAAACCTCTTGCATTTGATAAACCCACAGTTTATCAGATCACACTCAGCGCGACTGTCTTCCATGCTCCTACTAGTACAGTCCATTAGACAATGCTTAAAAGGTTCAACTGTTTTTCTAATCCACAGTCCCAAAGTCCATATTTCTCCAAACAAAAATCATGGCCAGGCCTATCACAGTAATACCCCAGTCCCTGGCACCAACTTCCATCTTAGTTAAGGTTTTTATTGCTACAAAGAGATACCATGACAACTCTTATAAAGAAAACATTTAATTGGGGTGGCTCGCTTACAGTTTCAGAGGTTCAGTCCATTATGGTCATGACAGGGAGCATGGCGCTGTGCAGGCAGACGTGGTGCTACATCTTGCAGGCAACAGGAAGTCAACTGACTGTCACACTGAGGGAAGCTTGAGCAAAAGAGACCTCAAAGCCCCCCCCCACACACACACAGTGACACATTTCCTTCAACAAGGCCACACCTCCTAATACTGCCACTCTTTTTGGGGACCATTTTCTTTTAAACCACCACAGTCCAGAAGATGAGGTAGTCATGAGGTGGCTGGGCAGGCTGACTCTCCAAGGTCACAGCCAGGCCACAACCTTTGTCCTGAGCCCAGAGTTTCGCCTCCCACGCTCTGTACTTGCCTGCCGCTGCGCTTCCTACTTCTCTTTGGTCTTGGCCTTGGCCATCGCCTTCAGCCTTGAGAGCTGCTATCAAGAGTAAATCTTTATTTGAAGAACCTTGATCTCAAATCTCCCACACCCAGGAAGCCACAGATAGTGACTGAAGGT